GGCTGCACAGTGTGATATTGGTGAGAAGTGGGGACTTGAGTAGTATTCGGTAAAGCCTGTGGTGGATAATATATCGGTTGTTGGTAGTGTTCTGGTTGTTGTGCAACGTTTGCTTGCATGTTATGTGCAGGTGTCATTGTATTTTCATAAGGTGTCTTAAGTGAGTTATCATTAGCATATGCATCAACTATTTTATTTGCTGATTCTATGACAGTATTCATGTTATTGCCTTCAATCAGAGGCTGCATCTGCTGATTGACGATATCAGCTGCCATGTGCGGCTGCTGTTGATGCATAACAGCTGGAGAAACTCTCTGAGAAGTAGGATATCCTTGTGGTGCATTTTGATTGTAAGCCTGCTGCTGTGCAGTTGGTGGCGACACTCTCTGAGATGTAGGATATCCTTGTGGTGCATTTTGATTGTAAGCCTGCTGCTGTGCAGTTGGTGGCGAAACTCTCTGAGATGTAGGATATCCTTGTGGTGCATTTTGATTGTAAGTCGATTGCATTTGAGGCTGGAGTGGGTATCCTGGCTGAGCCGGTGGATAATTGGCTTGAGGTCCTGTTTGCATTAGCAATGGTTGATATTGAGCATATCCTCTTGAGTATTGTTGGTGATAACTTGGTGTTTGAGGTGGATAGCCATTCATTGGCTGCTGTGGATATCCCTTTTCCATCACCGGCTGGTTTTCATAGACATTTTGGTTTCCACCTGGTGCAGCATAATACCCTTGCGGATACTGTCCTTGGTTGTATTCAATGTTTGGCTGCATTTGTCCACTTGGTTCGTTGTTTGGATTTCTACTCTGTTCTTGGTTACCGTTAGATGGCTGTGGCATAGTCAACGGGGCAGTAAAATTTTTCTTAATCACAAATCTCCTTTCAAAAAGGAGATAATCAGTTAACAAATAGCATTTAATAAATTTTCTAATATTCTATATTAATTTGCTGTTTTAATGATCTACCCACAATCGATGGTTAGAACAATAAAAGAAATTCACATAAAAGAAATAATGAAAAAAGAACAAATAAAAGAACCAAAGATTCATGCCTCATATACATTTGTAAGGCTACTATTGCTGAGAATATCATCGATAGGACTTTATCTCGCTGCATATAAGAATATTGACTGCATTACATGCTTTATAATTGAATTGTCAAAGCATCCTGCTTTTCCTTTGCTTATTGTTTACGAGACAAAAAGTTTTCTGGATCTAAAGGAGCCCATATTAAAAGCATTTGTACTCATTCTACTCTTCTCAACAACATTGGTTCCCATAATCAAAGCCCTGCTCAAAGAAATTGACACAAATACAATTTTTTTTTGGTTTTCACTTTGCCAGGTAATATTTTGTATTGATTCTGTAAGAACATCCATTTTAAACAAAGGCAAGAGCAAAAAAAAGAAGTTTTCACATGATAAAGTGATTCCACTTGAAGAAAGCATTCTCATTCCTCTTAAAACAGAGAATAACGGAGTATTTGGGAACATGGCCGCGCTGTTTGGGTTCTTTGGGACATTTTCAAGAATTGATGATAATACGCAGGTGTTAATACTACAAGCAATTGGATTTGTCGCCTACTTGTTTGTTCCCAGTTTCTTAGAAAAGAGATTTGTCCATTTGAGTTGTAAGAAACTCATTTTGGTTCTTTGTTCATTCTTAATAATTCAATATTTGGCCGATCAGCAAATATTTTTTATATTTCTTTCGATAACAGCAATAGTATTTAGCTTTCTATCATTGAGTATTGAACTGATTGATAAGAGATAGCAAATTAAAGCATACCAACAAATGGGAATGTGCAATAAACAGGACAGAATCTTGAATATAGAACAATAATATTAAATAGAAGGGCCAAGTATGCAAGAATAGTGTAAGTAAATGAAAATACAAATAGCAGTGTAAATACAAACAAAAGTCGTTGTTAAATTATTCAAATAATCAAACAGATAGCTTTAATTACGCTGACATCTTCATTTGAATTTTGGGATATGGGTTATATCCTTCAATTATGAAATCTTCAACTTGAAAGTCTTCAATTTTCTTATACTCCTTCTCAGCTAGTCTCAGTGTTGGAAATTCCCTTGGCTCTCTTTCTAACTGAACCTTTAAAGGTTCAACATGATCCAAGTATACATGGGTGTCTCCAATAAAATGTACAAATTCATGTGGCTCAAGCCCCGTTAACCTTGCCACTATCACAGCTAAAAGCGAATAACTCGCAATATTAAATGGAATTCCGAGTCCCATATCACCTGACCGCTGATACAATATACAAGTTAGCTTTCCCTCTGCAGCCAAGAAGTGAAACATGCAGTGGCAGGGTGGTAGTGCCATTTCATTTAACTGGATAGGATTCCAGGCAACTACTATCATTCTTCTACTCGTTGGGTTATTCTTTAGGGTATCAATAACCTGTTGTAGCTGGTCTATGCCCTGGCCTTCATAGCTATCCATGCATGTCTTATACTCTGCACCATAGTGTCTCCACTGAAACCCGTATACTGGTCCAAGATCGTCTTCTTCCCTATTGATTCCACTCCTCTGAAAATATTCTTTTGTGCTATTTCCATCCCAAATGTGGATATTCTTGGCTTTAAGTATCTTATTGTCTGTTTGAGACCGAATGAAGAACAAGAGTTCCTCGGCTATTATTCTGAAAGGCACATTCTTGGTTGTGAGAAGAGGAAACCTCCCATTTTCTAGAGAATATCTCATTGATCTTCCGAATAATGCAAGCGTTCCTGTTCCTGTGCGGTCATTCTGTCTCTTACCATTTTCGATGCATTCTTTAATTAAATTCAAATACTGTCTTTCTTCTTCGTTTGGCATACCCTTTCATCTTCAAAAGCTTCAAAAAATTTTAATGTTCAACGTAGTCAATCACTCAGCATCATGTAATTTGAACTTGCAAAATACACACTTTAACCATGAATAAAAGACGATAATAAAGAATACTGTATCACCTATTTTGGAAATACTAAACTTTTCAGCAACCTTTGCTAGCAAAAATGGTATACAATTAACGAGAAGCTGTTGAATGCACTATAACATTTGATGTTGAAAATAAACCGTAGGTCATTATACAGCCAACAAAGACCCTATTTTAGTTTAATTTTCAATGTTTAAGGTGCTTAGTACAATGCTAATATTTAAATTGTTTTTTAAGTGTTGTCAAATTGTTTGTTTTTGGAACCCCCTATGTTTCTATTTGTGCTCTTTTCTCTAATTCTGGCAAGACAAATCGAAATTAAACCACAAGGAACATTCGAATTCTACGATCTTGTGACCAAGAACGAGATATACAAATTTAAATATAGTACACAAGGTGATGTTGATGTTTCTCTCATCGATCCAAAGGGTAGAACCATATTTACCGACTCAGTAAAGAGTGCTGCATTGTTCACTAATGTTTCGAGCGAAGGAAAGATAAAAGTCATTGTCAAGAATAAAACTAAGCTTCCAATAGACTTTTCATACAAATCACCTGATCCAAACAAGGAGCTGTTAGGACACTTAGGATACGTCAAGGACGTTGACCTGGTTTCTGAGCTGGCGCGTCTCTTGGATCAGCTTATTACCGATCAAAGCAAACAAATCACGAGAACATACGAACACCAAAAAATGGTAGCAAGCTCAAGGTTCTGGGCCAGGATTCTTATGATTTCCGAATTGGTAATGACAGCTATTGCTGTTTATGTAATTCATAAGGATTTTGTGGGGATGTTTGAGAAAAAACAGACACTTTAATAAAATTAGTTGAATAAAAGCTTGTTTATTGTATGAATTAACATACGCAGCATAGATTTCAGGACCTGCAATTTGTAAAAATTCCCATTTATGGCAGGTTGATATAAAAATCTAGCTGGTTCTGCCGAGGTTCGAACTCGGGTTGCTGGATTCAAAGTCCAGAGTGCTACCGCTACACCACAAAACCTTAAATGTACACATAATTCTATTGTTAACTTTGCATTCAAGCATTCCATCTCTTCCACTTAGCCATGACTTCAGATCAAGTGCAAATAAGAAAACTCAGAATAGACAATTTACTAAATAACAACACTTCTCTCGCTAAAGTACTTTGAGATCAGATTTACGGTCTTGTTGAAATATGGATTCTTGGATGCTTCTTCATTGCCATCCATCCTGTTCTTAAAATATTTAATAATTTGATTTACCGTTTCTTCAAGAGTAATATTATCGTTATCAATCAATATGGCATCCTCGGCTTTTTTGAGAGGGCCGTGTTTTCTGTTGATATCATCCCGATCCCTGTCCTGTAGCTTCTTTAGAACATCTTCGTAATTCTCGCCTGTTTGCTTGGATCGTCTCTGTGCACGCGTAGTGTCTTTTGCCGCTATGAACACCTTCAGGAATGCATTGGGAACTACAACAGTTCCAATGTCACGCCCGTCAATCACTATTCCTGGCACGTCTAATTCCATCAGAGATCTTTGAATTTCATGTGTCTTTTCTCTAATGTAGAGCTCTTTTGCTATCTTTCCAACGTTCAAGTCTATCTCAGGATTCCTTAAATAATCCGTAATATCCTTTCCATCATAAAATATCCTAGAATTTGATTGGGAAATTTGCAATGCATTTACAAAAATCTGTACTTCTTCACTGTTCAAATCATGCGCTTGAAAATTTCCAAATTTCTGGTAAATAAGGTACGTTATAGCTCTGTACAGCAGCCCAGAGTCGATTCTTTGAAATCCAAGAACTTTTGCAACAATTTCAGCAGCTGAGGATTTTCCACTTGCAGCTGGCCCATCAATGGCAATGATGAATTTCATTGAGGGTTGGAAAATATGCAAATTGGATACTGATATGCTAATCAACATTACACTGTCTATGCAGTATGAGTATTTGCATTAATGCATGCCAGTGCCAATATGAATTAGCTATTCAAGTTTATTTAGTTACGGGAAAGGACATCGACACTTTAAATAAAGATTATAAAACATATTTATTAAAGCTGGATCCTTCTGTTTTGTCTTTTTCACCATAATGTTTGTGTTTTCTATTACAGCTATCCATGCCCATATATGAACAATCCTGCCCAACCAAAGAAGAGAGGCCGAAAAAAGAAAATTGAAATAGTCCCTGAGAAAATTCACGTTCCAAAAGCTGAACAACCACAGATAATTCAAGCCAAAAACATAGTTAAAAGTCCTGAAAATCTTCAGCTGGAACGGGAAAAGATTGTTAAGGAGCTCGAAGAAAAGGCAAGTAAAGTAGACAAGCTAGTGGACGACGAGAAGATAATTAACAGAGTTCACCAGAGAATGATAAGTAAACAACGATTCAGTAACAGAAAAAATGAATGGGAACTAGAAAGAAACGTAGGAAAGACAGTCGATGATGTTGAGTGGCAAACAGTAATTTTGCCTGGAATGATGAATAGAATGTGTTTAATATTAGAGTTTTTATTGAAGAATGGGCCAATGACAAGAATAGATAACGATATTTTTAACGAGTGTGTGGAAGTGATTAGATTGTATTATACTGAGCAGTTAAGACTTATTTCCAAGAGTGATATTAACAGTAATTTAAAGGAGATTTGTATAACGAACATGCTTTGTCCTGACGATGATATGCCAGCCAATAAGGTGATTAATGAAATTTTATCAGAATTTAACTTTGGAGAAGATGTGATTAAAAAGAGGGATACCGAAAAATAGCAAAAAACTTGAAGATTAGAGCAAAGACAATACTAAATAAATTCTTTTAAAAGAAAGATACAGATTTTGTCTGACAACGCCACAAACTGTTGGATGAACTGTCAAAGTCATTCAGAGTGTAAGTGCACTTAATTAAGGTAAAAGAGTTTAAATCAAAGGTATATTTACAGTCTAATTTACTCAAAATATACTATTCTATCGCTAAATACTTTATATTTAAGGTCATAGTAAATTTTGTCTCTTCTAAACACCTTGATTGATCCGTCGATCTTACTTGAACACCCACTTCTTAACTTGTATATCTTTACTACAATATCATAATCATAGAAATCTCTTGCAGTTGCAGTAGATGCCCTAAAAACATTCACTTTGGAGATATGGCAATATCCCAACTTTCTTTGCGTATAGATATCGTCGATGATGTCCTCGGAGTTGAATTCAGAAGTATAAACAGACTTTATTGTTGCCTGTGCATTGTATTTTCCAAGGGAAGATTTCAAAAACTCACCCGAGTCGTTCCACTGAAATATAGTATAGTTAAATGCTTTTACCAGCTCTAAAATAAAGAAATCACAGTTCTGAGATGTATCTTCGTCTATTACAATTGTATTTTCTTGAAATATGGACATGTCAAAGACTTCTTCAAACTGTTTTTCTTGCATCGCTTATTTTGGAAGATGGGTGGTGATGCTGAAGCATTCGCTATGTAAACCATTAGCCTCGAGTGATCACACAGTTTCTAATGTTTAAACAAAACACGATTTCTCAAGATCAGAAGATACCGGGCATGCCCAATGGATATGTCCGTGTGGTTTAAGCAGATTACAAATCATATCGTCTTGTGTTTGTTATTAGCACCAGAAATATATCGATAGCTAACCCAATATTTCATTTTTAGTGCTAAAAACTCGGTGTAAGAATGTTTAGGCTAGAGCAGGGCTATTCAGGAGTTTACAATATTTAAAATTAATCTCTGCTGTTGAGACACCAAAATGAAGCGTAGAAAATAAATCAAACCAATTGTTAAAACAACAAATGTGTCATTAAAAATATCATTGTGCTGCAATATCATTTCCTAAATTTATTGAATGTTTCTATTGAAAGCTGAATTCGATTACAGGCAGAATAGGCAATCTTCATTAGGATCTTCAGGCAGTCTGATTCAATTTCTAGGATAAGTTTATTGTCTATGGCTGTGTATTTAACCTCGGATTTGTCATCGATTTCAACCGCATTCTTAACTAGTCCTGGATTTTCACATTTTATTTCAAACTTTGCAGTATGCATGGGTGATGACTGAGAAGAAGCTGAATCTGGCAGATTCTACAATACAAATTAGGATCTTAAAGGCACTCGAAGATATAAAACCATTTGGAGTTTTTAAGCATTTCCACATGGTCAAAGTGATCAGAAACCTAAAACAGCCAAACATTATTGAATCTAAGCACATTTGGCAATACTTGGAATCAGAGTATGACATGAAAAAATATGATGAAAGAACAAACTTTGTTCTTATAAGCGAGACAAAAACATTTGATCAGATATTCCAGGAATGAGTTTAAGAGCCAGTTTTGTGAGGATAGGTCGTTCGAAGGATTGTTGAACAGAACGAAGATGGCAGTGGAAGGCTGTCGCCAAATCTAACTACGATAGCAACCAGTTAAATGTTAAGTAAACCTGTCATGCCATGCTGCTAGACTACCACCTTTGCATTTCGAAATGTTATTGTCGTTATTATTCATAACTTGTGTTATAGTAGAATGATGAAATGCCGTCTTCACAAGTTTATTTACTGTTTGAATGCATTTACTTTCGACATATCGTACAATCTAGTATTGCGGATATAAAATGATATAAATAGGGGCAGTAGGGCGCTGAGCTGAAGTATTGAAACACCATTAGATTTTATGCACACTTTCAGTATTTTGAATGCTTTGGCCATAATGCATGTATGTATGTAAATATTATTATACTTTTGGCGTATAATGCTTAACAGGTGATTGGAACACATGGATGAAATGATATTAAATAGAGCTTTTGCAATATTTTTGTATGATTTAATATCATTTACACTTCCAAACAGCAGAAAGAATGGAAATGTGATGATGATCTCAGAAGATTTGGCTATAATCTTTGCTCTTACATATGAAATTGAATTCACACGGGCTTTATATCTTTGTTTTACAGTTAGAACAACTATAAAAAGTACAAAAATTAATATTCCAACAGGCGAGCAATGATTGATCGAGGAAATAGTGAGCACAAATACGAACACACATTGGATAATTGTTGACAACATATGTGAGCTACTAAACTCCAGCTCTAAGCCATCTGTGCCTTTTTTAATGATGCTTTTGAGATCTAAAAAAGGAATTTCGAATGTTTTGAGCGAGGTAATTAACACTCGACTGTAATAGCTTCTAAGGGTTGAACTCAGCACAGAAATAGAAAACAAAACTGCAGAGAGCTGTAAGAAATACATTAAAACATGCATATCTTCCAAAATGCCTGGTTCTTCAGTTTTTTGTTCAAGTTTAATACACCTGACAGCATTGAGAGCAAGTGTAATTGAGGATTCAAGAAGAATCTGTGAAAAAATGTTTGATGAAGAACTTGAGCATAGAAACTGCTGAGCTACTGATTGAAGAATAATAATAGCCAATGCGAGTGTTAGAATTTGAATATATGTTGATGAGATTCTTTTGACGTGTGCAAACATGTGTTTTGATATTATTAGGGTAACACATCACAGTCAAATTTGTAAAATTGAAGATAAATGATAGAGTTTTATTAAATTACCATTCTAGGTCCTGGTGCAAATCGCCTAGAATTATTTGTATTTGCCTTTTTTGCCCCTCCCATTCCCATGGTAACAGAAAAAGTAACAATCGCACCCTTGGTCCTTCTTTCTGTAGTGGACCACTACAGGAGAGTGCCAGCCTCCAGGGTCGTTGGTGTTCTTCTAGGATCAGCCAATGGCTCTGTAATCAACATAACAAATAGCTTCGCAATCCCTTTTGAGGAAAAGGAAAACAGCTTCTTTTTTGATTCAAGCTATTTACAAAATATGTTTGAACTGTTTTACAAAGTAAACTGTGCAGAAAAGATTGTTGGATGGTACCATTCTGGTCCTAAAATGCATAAAAATGATTTGGACATCTCAAAGGCCTTTAGAAAATACTGTGAGAATCCCGTCTTGGCCATAGTGGATGTGCAGATGAAGGCTAGTGACATTCCAGTTCAGATTTTCCAGCTAAGGTTTTGCAAACAGCTAGACCATCTTAACGTACAGATCGGTGCAGACGAGACTGAAGAAGTGGGTGTGGAACATCTTTTACGCGACATAAAGGAGGGGACTGGATGTAGCCTTAAAGATCGTGTGGAGGAAATCAAGGATAGTCTTAAGATGTACAAATCTAGTCTTGATCAAATCATACAATACTTTGATCAAATAGAGCAAGGGCTGAAGCCTGATTACAAAATTCTAGAAGTTTTCCAAGAAATCATCAACGCAATTCCAAAGATCGTACAGCACATGGATATGAGTAAAATATACTCTCTTGAGCTACTAAATACATTTATTTCCATGAACGATCTTCATAGAAATCGACTAGAAAATCAATAAAATATTATTTGCAATAGCTTTTAATACGTACCTGATGCTTAAAGCCTTGTGGTCTAAATCAGTTATCTTAAGTTTAAACAGCTCCACTCCACAGCATTAAGCTTTCATTGACATTATTTTAAAACTCTTCAATGAATGGCAAGGGTCTTAACACTTTTAATATCTTTATTTTATTACATCTCTTTTTTGTAAACAAAAATAATGGCCACCCCATGAAAATCAGGACAATTTTGATAAGAAATATACTTTATTTAGTTGTCATTGGAGTAATATCAATAATATACGAAAAGGTAAGAAAAACGCTGCTTATTTCTCTTGTTTCATCAATAGAGTATATTGTTTATCGACCTGTCGGAATTAAACACAACAGAATTCTAAAAATAGTCCTTGGAAAGGCATACAAGTCCATTCTTGATCCAAGCTGCTGCTTTGACGTTCTAACATCACTTAGAATATGCTCAAAGATTGCATTTGGGGCCTACAGCCAAGTTTTCAAGGTTATTAGAGAGATATTTGAATTACTCAATAACCGTACATACAATCCATACATGAAAAGATATGATACAATTTATCTTCAAGTAGACCAAATAGTCCTATCGGTTATTCTCATGACCATTCTCTTGATAATATTTGCCAATTTAATTCTGTTTTACTGCTTCTTTGTCGTTATTTATTTGGTCACTGAGGCAACACTCATAGGATGGGAGTTATTTGAAGATTTAATAGAAGAAAATTCTGTTGAGATGGCATTTAAACGGTTAAGAAACAAATATTTACTGAAAAAATCATATTTTGGAAAAAGAATACTCACGGGCGAGTTGCCCTTAAACTAAAATAGGTAAGCAGACACACTGTTGTATCCCAACATTTAACCCTATTGCATCTTTAGATCTTGGGAGTTAAGTGGCGTTTCTACTCTGGAGCTAATCCCTATGAATGGGTATGCGTATTTTTATAGAAAATGCACTTTTTGCAATTAGTTTCGATTGCCTTATTGTTTGACTTTCATTTATTTCAATCTGAAAATTTCTGGTCCCATGGGCCACGTGAAATATTTAATGCAGATTGCAAATGAGTTAAATCTGAGCTTCAATGAAGATGCAATCCAAAGCATGCTGACACTCTTAGGAAATGATGTAACACCTGACAACCTTGTCAAAATATTGGAAGAAATTAAAACAGAGCTTAAAAGCCACGAGACCGAGTAAATTTACTAAAAACTCAGGCACTCCACTGTACCAAAATAAAACTAAATTATATTCCTGCTTGTAACTTTCTTTTCTTCTTTACTAGCAAAATTTTTAAAAATTTTTTAGGCCTTCAATGTCCAAGAATGCATGCAGTATACCAATGCCGGAATCCTTTGCCAAGCTTTTTTTTGTCACACAATCGCATCTTGGCGGTGCAAAGGTCTCCCACAGAATGAAACAGTATGTTTTTGGCCAAAGATCAGATAACATCTCAGTTTTTGATATAGAAAAATCCTGGGAGAAGTTTGTACTTGCAGCTAGAGCCATTACAGGAATTAAGTTTCCCGAGACTATCTGTGCAGTCAGTGGCAAAACGTTTGGCCGAAAGGCTGTTCTTAAATTTTCAGAGAGTGTCGGCTGCAAGCCAATCACTTCAAGATTTATTCCTGGATCTTTTACAAACACCACCGTTAAAGGAAGTATAGAGCCAAGACTTATTATAGTTTCTGATCCAGTATTTGATAAACAGGCTATCAATGAGGCATCGATGGTTAATTGCCCCATTATTGCATTCTGTAATACCGATGCATCTCTTTCCAATGTTGATATTGCCATTCCAATTAACAACAGGTCTCCAAGAGCTATCGGTGCATCATTCTTCATACTTTCAAAGTTAGTGAACTATATAAAGCACGGTGACGGTCTTGAAGATAATATGAAGAATGTTGAGCTATTCTTCTTCAGGGACCCAATTGAACTTGAGAAGCTCCTTGAAGAGCACATTGCAGAAAGCAAGGTTCAGTTTGCACCTGCAGCACCACAATGTGATGAGGGTGACTTTGGACGGTCTGCGATTGAAACAGAAACAGGCTCTGGTTGGGAATAAATAAGTTTATTTAAAAATTTTAATACTTATCAGTAAGACTAATGAAGTACAAACCACGATAATTCTCTCTTGATAGAATGCAGTAGGATTATATAATGGGAATCATTTTGGGTTTCTAAGTATTTGAATTGTTTTCTTTCCGTACCTAGCTTGTATCTGTCTAAACAACTCTTTCTCAAAACTGTTTAAGTTTTTATTCACAAAAATAAAAGCGTCAAATGATTCAAAATTCTCAGTAACAATCTCAAAGTAGCTGCTGCTTTCGGTAAAGAATATAAACTCCTTTTTGGAACAAATAGTTTGTATGGTTGGAACAAAGCTTGTTTTGGATGTGAAAATTAGCGATATTTTGTTGCCTTCACACAATGAGATGGCTAGTTCGTTTAAATCTTTTGCGCTTTCACAGATTACTACATTCTCATGCTTCATTATGGATCAATACTATTTAGCGGTTCTGGGGAGTATTGGATAGGCAAAGGCTATGATGCTACACAAAGATAAACACTGTCTTAAAAATGTCACATACAGTCAGATAGATTGCATGCAAATCATTTTTACTAAGATCTTTTCTGATAGTGCATTATTTCATTCAATGCACCTCCTTAGAAACAACTACTTTCAATAATTTTCGTTAATTTTAATGAATTTGTGGCTAGTATTAATTTTCTGGTTAAAGCTCACGATTTAATTCAAAAGTAGAAGAACTCTCGTCTTTTTTGTTTGAAGTTTGGAATCTTTCAAGACTCCTTGAAATCTTTTTGTCAAATTCTTTGTGTTCTATTTTCAGGTTATAGTATTCAAGCTTTGCTATGTAATCTACTACAGCCAGTGCTGTTGTCAAATAATACTCATCTTCGTTTTTCCAGTCTTTAGAAATCAGGCATATACATTCAACAGGTATTTGAAATCCGTGCTTGCATTCAAAATTACAGTCTTTATCATACTTCCTTTTGAACAAGTTGATATAATGAATATGAGCATATAAATCCTGAATGTTTGCCTTTATAAAGCAGTAGACTAAATACGGGAAGAAATCATCCAATCCAACGCCCTTTCCCACTTTTCTATATAGGTTTTCAATGGAAGTCATTAGGTGGAATGTTTTGACTGATGGCACTTCAGTTGATTCCATTTTCCTGAGTATTTTTAATATTTTTGTAATATTTAACTCCTTTATTTCCAGGTGTCTGGGTGATATCCATTGATACAATTCCACTTTTTTATTTGTTAGGCTATTCATACTGTCTGTTTTCAGTTTAAACGTCTTAAAAACACTCTCCATTGTGATCTTTTCAACGAATAGCATGCCCTTTTCACAAGGAATATTAAATTTAATTTTTATATAGTCATAAAACTGTTGTAAAATCATTGGATTGCTGTTGATCGCCTCGAGACTGTCCAGAAAATCCTTGATGATGCTTACAAGTGAGGTTTCCGATATTGAAATCCGGGCTTTTCTGCAGTTTTCGGAGCATTCCAGTTTCATGAAAGATTCGTAAGCAATTTTTATAAATGTTTCAGATTTTATAAATAAACAACAAATGAGTTGATAGAAATATACTCCCTGTCTTTGATGTACTTTCACAAAAAGATATGGGCTATGGCTCTCATTTATATTAATGCTTAAGGCCAACCGATTTAATGGTACTCACTTCTAATGCTGTATTATGTGTTGGTAAAGCTTCTATGGCTGTGACTAATTTTCAATGACTATGTTCTGGTCTAAAAACCATTTGTATAGAACCATGACTCTTTCATGATCCTCGCTTCGAAATAGGCCTAAAAGGGCGGCTTTGAGTGGAAGCCGTGCTAAGTATCTTTCAATTGCCATTTTCTTTAGCTTGATGTATAACTCAGGAGCTAGCTTCAACTGAATACAAAGCTTCAGTTCCTTTTCAGACAAGTTTGCAGTATTGTTCATCAAGTTTTCACTCTGAACTGAAAGAAATTCTGGATTTTTTGATAATGACTCTTTTAACCGCTTTTCCCTGACAAGACCAGCAATAAAAACGTTAAAGTCATTCTTCGAAATAAACTGAGCAAGCCATTTCAACCTCCCAGCAACTTCACCAATGTCCGTTTTCTCTTTATCTAAATAGCGTTCTACATCAGTAAGATTTCTATCGAAGATAAAATTTCTCCACACTTTTCGACGCTTTAGGACAGTTTTATAGTTATTCAATAAGTATCTTTTAAATTCGGTGTCCAGTTCACTATCGTCGTCCTCAAAAATAAGATTTTCAATGAGTGCTTCGTATTCATTAAGGATCTCTGAATCAAACTCTTTTCTTTTCGACATAAAACTGGCAATAAATGAGTCATTTGGATTGCTTTTTGGGATTATTTCAAAGCTTTTCTCCCCATCCTCATTATCAACAATCCCCACAAGTTCATAGAAGTGCTTTTTAACTTCATTCTGATCTTTTGCAGGTAAAATTTTAGAAATATCATCAAAATTTCCAAATCCACATGAAAGTAGTCCATCCAATAGCAGAAGCTCATCGATCATCCTCCAATTTGACGAGTCTGGGCACGTCTCGAGATTTGATATAACTCTAAATTTGTGTGTCTTTTTATGAATATCGGTTTCTAACTCTTGAAAGAAACAGGCTTCACACGAATCAAACTTACAATCTTCGCATCTGTAATATGTGTGAAAAGTAATGTTTCTGAAGCAATAATCACAGAAAATGTGCAATTTCTGTTCTTTCAATGTTTTAGCAAATGCCATTCTTTGTTGTGATTCTTTAAAAATTTTATTAACTTAAAAATTTTAAAGGAAGATGGAAACTGAATGAATAAGAGTGATAGAAATGTATTTATATTTTGACCTTTTTGTGATCAAAAATACATGTGGGCAAGTATTATATTTGTATTGTCTAAAAGCAATGCAGGCCTTATTTCCATTAAAAAACATGCTATTTCTCGATACATCACAAGTTGATTGAAATTAATCGAGTATAGCAACCGTTGGACTTTTTTCATGAATGCCTAGTTAAAAACCTTGGTGATGGAATATGCCAACAGCAGTTTGCCGTGATTTGATCGGCGATTAAATGGCTAAGCAACAGAGCACACCTATTTGTGTTTCACAAAGCCGTTGATCGACTTCAACTTAATTAGACAAGAGGTGGAGTCTGTGCACAAACGCCCAAGAACGAAACGTTTCGTGTGAATATGTTCATAAAGATTAAATAGGCATGTTTCACTACTTTCTTGTTAGCATTACAATCAAAACTTTTAAATCAGAGACTTTAGACCAAACCTCAGCACATTTGTGGTGTTTCTGGTTTTCAATGGGCAAAATAATTTTCCTATTCATTTGGTCAAGCACTCCAGATTCCTTTTGCATTTGTTAAATAATCTATTGCTTTTATATCCATGATGAAGACAAAGAGTACCAAAGAAAAGCAGGAAGAGATTTTACTAGCATACATCGACATTCCTTATTTCAGAAACAATCCAACATATATCGAAAGATGGAGAACGTACTACCAGCGATATAAAGATCCCCAAATTCTGCTACTTATGTACCACAAGCAGATAAGTACCTTTTACCATTGGATATATCTTGAGCTTTCACAACACTTTCTAAAGAAAAGCCAGCCACAAATTGCACATTTTATATTACATGAAGCCCTAAAGAACAACGTATACGATGCAACTAGAATCAAAGAGGCGATAGAGAAGATACCTCCATTTGAAAAGAAGTATTCAAAGGGAGACATGCTGGGATTATTGAATACAAGAAACATACAAGCATTAGGAAAAACATGGAACTGCTCTAATGAAACTTTCTTTTATCTGACTAATCCACCAAAAAGTTTAGTAAACTATGAAATTCAGAAAATCAAGAATTATGAAGAAAAATATGCTCAAGGTAAAATTGAGATGAAAGAGATTATTACAAACTTCATGGCCGGCATTGAGCATTCCCAATCTATCCAGCAAGAGGTTAATGAAGTAACTAAATCTGAAGAAAACAACAAAGTTCTTGGTCAAGCAGATAAGTCTAGAGAGAACAGCAAGCCTCTTGATAAAGTGGATAAGCCTGTGGAGACACCTGATAACAAGATGCAACTAGGAACTGTTGATAGGATGGCATGCCAAGAACAAAACGATGGTATTGCCAATACCATGAATGCGAAACAAATCGCTGGGTTACATTCGCAGGAATGCGTGTTGTTTTCGGATGCGCATCAAAAGATCGTGGAAAAAGAACCAGAGAATATAAATCAGGAAGCAGAGATGCTGGCTAATGACAAACTTGTTCCAGTTGTAACTATTCAGCAAGCAGAAAACAAGTATGCAATGAACCTTATTGGGCAAGTTGAAAAAGAGTATGTAATGGACTCCTCAAGCTATATTTCTATACAGGAAAATGAGAAAGACGATTCGCAAGTTTGCAAAAAACAGAAAATTGATGGCAATAGTATATTTGAAACAGCATTCTTTGAAATTTCAGATGACTTTAAGTTGAACTCAGAAATTTGCTTTGATCGATACATTTATCTGGTTCAAAAAATTGGGCAGGATGGTGTGGAGCTTCTAAGAATAGCGAAAAATGCTGATATTACCCAGACTATGATTGGAAAGATGTTCTTTCTAAAGAAATGCTCATATTTATCTTGCAAGATTTTTAAGAATGTTTTTGGTTTTGATGCGTGCAGATGTTTGTCGGAGTATTTCATACTTTATGAATATAGCCGGATGTGTGACCTAAAAGACATTATATCAACTGCAGGAATCTATGTTAAGTATTTCTATCTCAAAAAACTGCTCGAGAGGCTACTTTCATTGATGGAGAAAGGTTACTTACTTGTAAACACGGTAGATTTCTTCATTGATCAGGACTTTGACTTGGGCTTTAATTGTGTTGAACTGTGCGAATTGAATGATGATAGCTTGAAAATGGTCATTAGATTGCTAAAAGAAACCTTTTTAACTTCAGCCGATGAACTAACTATTGATTTTCATATGATTTCAAGGCTAAACAACCAGCTCAACACACCCGCAGCCAAGAAAGAAATACTTAAGCACAAAACAGAAATACTTCAGAGTATATGAATAAAGTCCGACAGATATATTGGGTTACATAATAAATTGATTTGAATTTTGCCATAGTGCAACACCACATCACTTTTTTAATATTTTTGTCTATCTTCTTAAAGAAAGTAAAATTTTCGCCAGACTCCATGTCACTTTATTCATATTCTTTACAAATTGAAAAGTATCAAGAGGAGATCTTAAAAGCTATTGAAGCCCACAAAACAACAATAATCAAAGGTCCAACAGGGTGTGGCAAGTCCACGTTTATTCCATTTCTTTTGAAAGATAAAGTAGTGGCAATTATCGAGCCAAGAAGAATTGCTGTAACTTCTCTTTACAGCATACTTGCACAAAAGATCGAGAATCTTGGATACAAAATGCGATTTAGTAAAAAGTGCAACGAATCAACAAGAATCACAATCTTTACAGATGGCACATTCTTGAATAATATTCATGATCTTGATTATGATTATATTATTGTTGATGAAGTTCATGAAAGATCTGTCAGAACTGATCTGATTTTGTCAATCCTCAAGACGAACTACAAAAACAAGCTTATATTGATGAGTGCAACACTCAATACTAAAAAACTACAGGACTTCTTCAAGGCATTTGTATACGAAATACCTGGAGAAGGCCATCCTGTGGATGTTAAATATCTTGATATTCCAACAAGCGATTATGTTACTGAATGCTATTTAGCGATAAAAAGCATAATTAAAAATAGAGATAGAGCAGAAAAGAAGGACATTCTTGTCTTTTTGCCAGGTGAAGAGGATATAAATGATGTGTATAAACTTTGTAAGAAACTTCCAGTTGTCGTGCCATACAAGGTTCACTCAACGATGAATGACAAAGACCAGTTAAAAATATACGAAAAATCTGATCTGACCAAGGTTATTTTATCAACTAATATCTGTGAAACTTCGTTAACAATTCCAAATATCAAATATGTGATTGATACTGGGCTGTACAAGAATAAAACATTTGACAGACTGTCGTTTCTTGGAATTCAAGCAATTTCGAGAGATAGCGCTATTCAAAGAATGGGAAGATGCAACAGACTTGGTCCTGGCGTATGCTTTAGACTGTATGTATCCAGTCAACAACTTCCATTATATTGTCCAGCAATTCTCAGATCCGACCTCACAACCGTTATTTTGTTCATAACAAACTTAAAGAAAAACATTTTTACATTTGAATTTATCGATTATCCGCCCATCAAAAACATACAAGCCGCAATTGAATTTCTTATCGATAAGAAATGCATTGTAATATTGTATAAAAACACAAAAGTTTGAAAGTCTGAAAGTTTTTGAAGAAAATTGTGATAAAGATTCAGAATCTATTGATCTTTCGGCTGTGCTTAGGAACACAGTTCTGAAAATCACCAACTACGGAAGACGTCTGATTTATCATCCGTTTGATACACATCTGGCCCACTTTTACGAACAGTGTATTGAAGCCCACGTCGGATATTTTGGTTCAATTATTGTTTCTCTGGTCAGTCAAGAAAGCTACAACTTCTTGGATGCACAGGCTGAGAAAAAGGCGGATCTTGAGTATCTTATCCAACTCTTCGAGGACTATTGCACTTCCAATGATAAAGCTGAATTCTGTTATAAAACAAATATTTCACTTAAAGGCATAGAAAATGCATATAAGATATTTAAACACTTGAATCATTCACGGGACGGTAGCATTGAAACCGCTCTAAGAGTCTTTAGTAGATGCTTTGAGCACAATCTGTGCACTAGACTTTCTGATGGAAGTTATCAACACTATAGATTGAATGAAAAGATTTATATCCATCCGACCAGTGGATTTTTCAAGAGAAAAGATAAGAAAGTCGTTGTTGTGGATGTTTTTTGCACAACAAAAACATATGCACGAATAGTTGGGAAATATTATGATTGATGGCAAAAATAAGGCAGAAAAACGAGGCAGACATACACCACTTGACGTTAGCCAAACCTAAGTTTCAGATTTTGACCTGGACAGTTAATATGAAAATACTCGGGACTATACTTAAATTATACTTTTATGATGAAAACGTCTTTTGATACGTCTGCAGATTGCTACATTGGAAGAGGTGGTCGTTCTATAATATAAGATTTATTTCTTGCATTTTTATATTTTAAAGAATATCTCGTCTTTTTCAACGGTGTTCTTCTTGAAAGTAATGCCATCCCCTGACGAAGTGAACGACGGCGATATCCATTCCTTAATACTGTTCCCAAATATTTCCTTCCAATTTTCCTTAGTTCCCAGATTGTAAGGATTGAGGTGTCTTCTATCTTTTGACTCACTGAATTGCGTTATTGGGCCTTCTTGGAATACGTGTCTATATGAGTGATCACCCTCCAGATACGAATTTATTGCAAAAAACTCTATCGTCGTTTCATTATTTGAAATAAGAAAGAGATGAAAAACCAAGGTTAGACAAAATATTACTAGAATGATCGCAGATAAAGTAGAAGATATGGCCAGGTTTACTATTGTTTCGGCATCTAGGGCGTTAGTGGTCAATGATGTGTCAACATCAACAATTGTGACATAGAATATTATAAATATCACATTTGAGATCAGGAATTGAAGAAAGAACTTATAATTGTGAAAGCCTATGCACACATCAAGGAACAGACAATGGTGGTCCATTTTTAGATAGCACTTGTTGCATCTACTACAGTGATGGCAACGTGGTGGTTTATACGTTTGGCATATGCCACATGTATGAGTCTTTTCTATGGAGCCTCTCTGTAATGCCTCGGCTATAAATGGATTGATATTACTAAAGTTTCGTTCAATTTTTCTATCGGAAGTCATAGGAAAGATGTCCTGTGTACTTTTGCTATCTGAAGTGAAGATTAAAATGTAATAAACAATTATGAATGTTTGGAAAATATTAAAAATGATGAAAAGTACTAGAACACCGGCATCTCCAAACTTTTTAGGATCCAAGATGAAGAGACCCAGAAATATGAAATTTATATACAGCATGTACAAGGGATAGAGTGAGTAGAGGACTAGTCTTCCAGCTTCTACTAAGAACGTCTTCGGCTCCATGCTATGGGTTACTTGCACTCTATTTATGTTTGAATAGTAAATAAACAAATTTAAGCTGTATGTTTTTGCAAAAGGTAAGCTGGCTATTTAGTTGATTTTGTAATATAATTGTGATGCTGAATTAGCGCATTAAAATTAGTTCATCAAGAACCCAAAACATAGCACATAGAGAATCACCAAATGTTAATTTATTACAGACACTTGTATGCAAGTACGTCGAGCCAGTTTTTAAATATTATACTTTAATTAGTATATAAAAGCTTTGAGAGATATAAACAAGACAGCCTCTTTATTCTATTTTGCACTCTTTACGACTGCCTACATTCATATTTACTCTGAAATCTTCTTTGGCGCAACTTTTGGATTGCTTTCCGAAAGCTTATTCTTTGCTTCGCTTTTGTAATCAAATGTACAGCTGTGCTGGTCAAAGAATCTGTGGCGTGCACAGAAGGACTTCTGACACCTGCACGTGAATGTGCTGATGAATTTCAGCTTTTTGTTGCAAAATGCACAGGATTGCGACTGCGACTCTGCTTTCTCTTCCACTATTTTGACATGCTTTACTTCATTCAGAGAGATGTCCACAATCTTTCTCTTCAAGGAAGCTGTGGGGGACTTGGGCTGAATTACTATCTGGCTATCTGTCTTCTGCTCTTCATTTACTGTTTCTTTGCTGCTGCTCATGAACTTAGGGGGAGGAGAAATTTTTTATTTGAGTCTTCGAATATTTATAATTATTTTAGAAGGAAAACAGTGGATGTTGGAGAATGTTTTAAACAGAAACAAGTGGCAATAATAGCAATACAAAAACAACCAATAAAAGTATTGGTTAGTTTCAAGGTCAAATCATAATTCAGTATTCTGATTGGGAAGTGGGAAAATTAAAGAGATAAATTAAGAATCAAACTACAAAGAAAAAAATTTAAAACAAATTACAGCACACAAATTTGAATGTTTAGTTAAAGAATATATTGCATGCTTTTTGTTTATTATTTTTAATTCATGCTCAATGCTCGAAAACTTAGCATAAGAATATTAATTAATGGGACACTCATTTATAAGCTACTATAGCATTAGTACTAATATCTGGCTCGATCAATAATATTGATCACACTTACAGGCATGACTTTTGTGATTTCATTAAACAATGCCATATTTGCATCTATCGTCTGTGGCATGTCTACTTTCTCATGATTAGCCATCATATTATGCATATGCTCTTTCATGCAAATTTAAAGACATGATGATCACTTAATGAATTAAATTTGTAGTGGTCTGAAGGATTCATGATTATATGCTCAGAGCTTAATGCAGTCTTCAAGTCTAGCAAATTTATTCTTTTTGTAAATAGAAGGCTCGTCAAGAATGATTCGCTGAAAAATAGGGTTTTACAAAAATACAGGTGCCTGAAAAAAGGATGTGTCCCTTTTGCTATTTATTGAAATGTTTGTTGACAGTGTGGACGTGAACGTGCATCCCAGCAAGGCAGAGGTGCTCATTGGCAATGAAAATATGTTTCTTGAAATATTGCAGGCATTTGACAGGATTTTTGAAAATACCCTCGAAATTAATGAAAATACCCTGAATTTAGGAGCTGTCTCTAATATTGGAAGCTTAGCTAGTTCTTCTAAAAATAGTCCAAGGAGTTGTAAAGTTGTTAATGACAAGAGTATAAGCAACCATGAAAACACCTACAACACTGATCAGAGTAGCGTCTTAGATACCAGTGATTTACTACCAAACACAAGCGCCCATACCTCAGACGCTTCGGTCACTAATACGAGTATCTTCCCTAAAGCCGTCCAGTCTAGTCCCTTGAAAATATACTCGTCACCATTTGTAAGAAGGTTGGATGAAAACACTTCAAAACACCAGCAGACCTACAGAAAGTTCTCCTTAATTTCACTAAAGTCATTGTTGAGCGAACTCAAAGAAATCGATCAATCATTTTTCAAGTCGCTAACGTTTGTTGGGGTATTTGCAAATGACATCTTTGTTCAGCATCAAACAAATCTTATAAAAATTGACAAGGAGTCTTTTCTTTTCAATGTTTTTTACCAGAAAATTTTGAAAGAGTTTGGAAACTTTGAGAGTATTGAGTTGCAGCACGCGGTTGAGACTGGTATACATGAGGATCTGTGGGAACTGCTGAGAGAGTACTTTGGAGTCCACATTGAGAATAAGCAGATCATTGCAGTCCCTAAAATATACGACATTGTGCCTGAAGACGAATCTGGTCTTGGCGACAACAATGGTAGTGGTTTTGCGGGATGCTTTGGAGAGCTAACTGTTGAAAAAACAGATGAGGTTGGCACAATCAAAAGCATTGCTCAAGGTGTTGCTAAGATCTATGCAAAATCCAAGGTCGACATCAAACTTTTTAACAAGATTAAAGCCGAAACAATAGCAACGATGGAAATAATAGACACGCTGTCTTTAATGAGTGATTTGAAAGATCTCTACAAGACGTTTGACAGATGCTAGAAATGATAAATACTGTTGAATGCAAGTTAAAATTATTCAATCCTGTTAAAAGTTATACTAGTAAATGCCAGTTCAGAAAGAGCACACCTTACTTCCTTGAACATGCCAGTCATATAATCACTACCACGTGAATTTTTGAAAAACCTTATCAATGTCCAAATATATTCAGAAGTAATTAATGATCCAACATGCTTGTTAAAACATGCACAAAGTCATTTAAATACATCAACCACAGCGTATTTGGTTTTGAGAGTCTTGAGAAGAACATCAATGCTCTAAACGGTAAGATAACTGCATAGCTCTTTTAGTACAAACTTATGCTCAAGATCTAATAAAATGTGGTTAATAAATTATTAATTAAAGGCTAAGAAGTAAGCACATGGCTTTAACCCATGTTTTTGCAGTCAGATCGTTCAACTTTGTTTGATACATCAAAATTAGTAAAACTAATAAAACATCTCAAAACACGGCAGTATCAAAGATTTATGGCCGAATTAGACCTATCAATATCATTTTCTCGACGTGCTTTGCATCCATATGACAGATATAGAGACGTCACACCCTACGATGAATCGGTGGCAGACAAATACAAACTCAAAAAATATATCAATGCATCATTTATAATACTAAATGGTGACTATTACATTGCCTGTCAGGAACCAAAGCTCACCTTTGGTGCATTATTTGTTGAATTTCTGCTCAAATGCGATGCAGAGTATCTGATTTGCCTAGAAAAAAATCTACACTACCTAAAAGGATATCAAGTATTAGAATCTAAAGCAGAAATGTTGGATGAAACAGAGTTTTTGATAGATCAAATATATAAAATTGAAAATAGAACCATTAGGGTGATTAAATGTTCCATGTGGAAAGACCATGGCGTGCTGGAAAGGAAGCAGATGGAGGAATTGTGGAAATACACCTTAGACATACCAAAAGATAAGCTAAAAATCATCCACTGCAAGGCAGGCGTTGGAAGAACGGGGACATTTATTATGTTCAGGATATTAAAGGATATTCAAAGAATAGGAGAGGTAGTAACACCCGAAAAATTCGTTGATGTTCTAGTTGAGCTGAGAAAACAAAGAACCTTAATGGTACAAAATGACATTCAATTGAAGTTCTTGGCTGAATATTTTATTGAAGAGAAATTTTTTATGGACAAAGTATGTGAAGCCTCGGACTGATCGACGCGTTCGGCATGCACTGCCTTAAATAAACCTTTGTTTGGTTTTGATTGCTTGCGGATCTATTTGAATGTTTTTAGGTTTGTATTTAGTTTCAAGATTTTAATATTAGATATTTTCAATTTTAAAGTGGCAACATTGCAGCAGTTTTGGAGCAGGAATCTAGCCTAATTCCATACCATCTTGTACTTCAAACACCACCTTAAAGTTATCGGTTTAGAGTCTATAGTAATCAAAGAAAAACGTGCATACGAGTCTAGATAATAAAT